GTTTTGTCTCTGCTCAGGTTACAGGTTTGACAAACTACAATCGCTGAAGCTAGGAGTGCTGCAAGCCCAAACAGGTTCAGCAGTGCTGGGAGCTGGAGAAAGCAATTTTCAGTGACATGACAATGCATGTTCTCAGGTGCAGGTGAACTCCAGCGGAGAAGAGTCGAAGATACTCGGATGGCAACAGCGAACTAGATATACTAGATAGCTAGCCGTCGCCAAACGTCTTCGTTTCATTCTCGGGATGCAGGGGAACAGCAAGTTCAGGGGCCTTTCATGAGAGGCTAAGTTGTAGCTACTGCTATCTTATATTTCAGCGTATGTACATAAGAACTATGTATGTACATGCCCGCTTGTCATTTGTTATCCCCCGAACTACGTAGGTATGCAGGCCTGTAGGCAAGTGGCCGTGTCGTCGTTTTGGCTTGTAGGTATGTAGGGTTTCTGTACAGTATGTATGATTGCATGGATGCATGCCTCTATGTATGTGCGTTCGCGATCATGATTGTCCACTCGTAAGCACGTAAATTTGTGCACACACACGCACCCTTATTTTGTACAGGTACATACCTACTATATCCATATCAGCACTTGTTATGTATTGGTCTGTCCGCTTGACATTGCCTCGGTTTTGGACAATATTAGCATGGCTATTAGCCATAGTTGTGCGGGCGGTCGTGTCAGTGTGTGAGGGAGCATGCGTATTATTATTGTCTGTTTGGACTTGCCGAGATGGCAGTGAAGTGAGGGCTGATCACCAGGTGCGATGTTGCCTGTGAAACCCCGACAACCGGGTAATATCATGTAGGTTCATCCTCGCCACGCGAGAGGCAAAAAACCGCCTGTCCATGTGCCTCTTTATCTATCTACCCATCCATCTGTCTGCCTATTTACTGCTCCTATCTATCTATCTATCTATCTATCTATCTGTCCATCTACCTATGTATCCGTATGCCCAAACATGTACATACCTATACATATACATATACATATACATATGGCCGCAGATGCACTTGCGCGCACCACATGGCATGCACACCTAGACACACATGTACACACACAAAGAATATACACATGAACATACACATACACATACATATGTGCATACATTCGTACATGCATACATGCATGACGTGCATACACACTGACACACACACACATGTACATGCATGCATACCCAGAGACATGCACACTCGCGCACACACACACACAGAGACACACATGCATGCATGTGTACTTTGTTCATACATAACATACTTACAACATGCATACACCGTAGATTCATAAATGCATACATACACACACACATACACAGATACATACAAGCATACACAAATAGCATACATGTGCATCTATGTACCTATGTATGTATGTGTGTATGTATGTATGCATGTACGTATGCATATATGTATAGATTGTATAGATGTATGCATGCAATGTATGTATGCATGTATGTATGTGTGTACGTATGCATGGATGTATGCATGTCTGTATTAATGTATGTATGTATGTATGTATGTATGTATGTAATGTAATGTAACGTAATGTAATGTAATGCAATGTAATGGAATGTAATGTTATGCAATGTATTGTCATGTAAGGTAAGGTAGGTATGTACGTATGTATATATGTATGTATGTATGTATGTATGTATGTATTAATGTGTGCATGTCTGTCTGTATGTATGTATGCATGCATGTATGTATTAATATAATGTAACGTAATGCAATGTAATGCAATGTAATGTAATTTAAGGTAAGGTAAGGTAGGTATGTACGTATGTATGTATGTATGTATGTATGCAAGTACATATGTATGATTCGTTGTATGCATGTATGTTAGTAGACAGGGGTGCGTGAGTGACTGAGTGTATGTGTGCTTGTGCTCGTGAGAAAATGCATATACCAATAATGTGTATGTACGCACATTACATATAGACACATATTCATATGTCGATTTGTTTATTTATTTATGGCATTCTGTTCCATTCTATATCTACTTCTATCTTAACTTCTAAGTCAATTCTGTTCTATATATATATACATATATATATACAGATATACATATATATATATATATTTACACACATAGACATATAGGTATCATGCAATATGATATTGGATTTTACAGACATACAAATACACTTGAACATCTGTTGCATGTTGCAGAGCAGTGCCGAAGGAATGGGTTGGAGCCCAGCGAGGTCGCAGAACTCTGCAAGGTCATCGCCAAGGCTTGCACAAGTATGATGCAGGGGCTTTAAGTGCTGCTGGGTGCCGGGGCTATCTCGTGTCACCTGGTATCGTACGCTTCGACATGCAGCACTGGGGGAACGCCTCGTTAATCCGTATCTTTTTATTGTCAGCTCGCACACACTCGTATTTGCCTGCCTTTGTGTATGGCGTGCTTGCACATTCGCACGACTGTGCCTATGCACGAGCGGGCGTGCATGCTTGTTTTTGAAAGAAACAGAAGTAGTCACATTTTGTTCCCGTGGAAGTACCCTTCCTGATATTTTGCTCGCTGGGGTCTCGCGCGGGATTCGCGCAGGCCCAAAAATCCTTAGGTCTTCACCGCCCCGCCCCCCTTTTTCCAGTTTCGGGTAAGATGTGGAAACATTCAGTTTCAGTCATTTTCATGCCGAAGTCCGGCCTATGGCAGAGCTGAGTATACGCGGAAGAGACTACACCGTCAACCGTCCACTTGCGGCTACACTCAAGATGTGACTGTCGGCTCAAGCTGTCGGCCCGACCCTCATATGCGCGGGATCCATAGAATAACGTGGAGTAAATAAACACAGCGCAGTTTAGAGTCTCGTCCCATCTCTCAATCGGCCCCGTGCTGCTCTTCCACTGCGTCACAAGTACGCAAGCCAGAATGAAGCAATTTCCCGCAGTCTTGCGATCCTGCGTGCTCGGGGGCCATCGGCCCATGCCGATCCGAAGCCGCATGAAGGCCACAATGGCGGCCGACACTGTGCGATTGCCAGGCTCTCCGATGGCCGACGTGAGGATGGAGTCTCTCGCGTATACGCCGACAGAACGGGAAGAGGGGCCGGACTTCGACTTCTCCCGGCATGTCAACTAGTCCGCCCTTGACCTCGCTGGGATCTGCGTGCGCAAGCCGTCAGAGACGGGCTAAAAGGTGGTGCCGGGCGAGATTGACTTCGGCTAATTACTTTGAGCCCTTAAGACTGCTCTCTGAGGAGGGTCTTCGGCTATATCGGGAAGCGATCCTGTCGAAACCTGTGAAGGAGAACTGCTACTAGTCTTGCCCCATGGTGCCTCTGACTATCCGCAACATGGCTGCCGACAACAAGTTCATCCGACAGATGAGCACTTCCGAGGCCATGCTGCTAGCTTGCTCCAACGCGGTTGGTTGCGATCTTGCGTGGCACCCGTTCAATCCGGAGCACATGATGACCAATATCCAGATGAAGGGGAAGGAGGCCACGAATGTGCTCGACTGACATCGCGACTCCGGCGGCTTCGTCCTGCTGGTCAGTCTCTCCGAAATCCCGGAGGACGGCCGGGGTGCCGGCACACCGATGCAGGATGCAACATGAGGTCCGGGCACCGGGTCCTGGCTGGGCCTACGTCACGCAGGGCAATCACGTTCTGCATGCTGCACATGCCAGTGAGAACTGGACGCGCATTGTCTCTGTGATCTCCTTTTGCAGGAAAGATACGCTGGCAGTGGAGAGTGGATCTCCATTTGGCACGTAACTACACCGATCACGCTCTCCTCGATAAGGAGTGCGCTGCCTACCGGCCTCACGACTCAGCCGTATGGAGAAGCTTCGTTTCTTGAGAGAGAGATCCCTAGATGTGGAAGCGAACGACTTTTCATGTCTGGTGCGGCGAAAGGAGCTGGTGAGGCACCTCGAGCACCTGACCGCAATCTTCGGATCACCTCAAGCTCATTACAGATGGGGGCAGCCACGTCCTCGGCCACTTCCGGTGGGCGAGGTCCCGGTGAGCGAGATCGCATCTGCCTACACTTTTTGCATGAACGATCAACTTCATGGCATCTGACACGTGACAACAATCACACAGGCGGCATGAGTAAGTTCTTGTCTGGATCGTGAACGCCCGTCGTAGCATGAGATGCAATGCCTTCCAGCCATGAAACTGAACGTGGACCACCCCACAGCCCAGCATTCGCAGGTAAACCCATGGATTTATGATCTTGCAATGCTCCATCATGCAGTATGTGCCTCAGAGTCGGCAACACTCTGCGGCCTACTTGCTGTGCACTTCCTGGGACCATCGTCTACATAGGGATTAGCTAATTGCTACTTGTAATTCCACCAGTTGATTTTTTTCTTCCAAAACCAGCGTCCGCCGGCAATAATGTGATTCTCACCAGCTGGCATGCGATAGCCCCACCGCCAAGTGTTGTATATGCATGGATTAAGCGAGAAGGGAGTCCTACCCTATCCTATCCTATCCTATCCTATCCTATCCTATCCTATCCTCTCCTATCCTACCTATCTGTCTATCTTTGTCTATGTATCTATCTATCTAAATCTATCGATCTATTCTATTCTATTTTATTCATTCTTTTGATTCATTCTATCATTCTATCTATCTATCTATCTATCTATCTAATCTATCTATCTATCTATCTATCTATCTATGCACGCATACACATTGTTGAATACAGCCCCTAAAGCCCTCACCACATAAACCCTATTCGACGTGGTATTTTGGCTTCTGTAGTAAACTCAGCCAAGCGCCGTGGCCAGGAGTGTGAAGGCCTTGAGCTGGCCGGGCTGATGACCATCGGCGCCCCTGCTTCTCGACAACGTGGGAAAACAAGCTTGTAGAGTTTGAGGCCTGTAAGCCCTAACGGTTTGAGGGTTTGAGGGTGTTGCCGAGAGGGACGAGCATGAGAAGCGAAAGAGCATCGGGAGGTTAATGAAAGGCTTGCGTTCCCAGGCGTGGAAGTGAAGCGAGGGCGAGTTCACTGTCGCTTGAAGCGTCAGAAGCCATGCAGAGGACTACAGTGGCTGCCGCACGGAGGACTTCGCGCGGCTCGGCGGAATCTTCTGTAAAGCATGGGGCGTGGAGTGAAGGGCCTTCACTGAGTTCTAGACAGAGTGTTGTGCCGCTGCCTACCCACGTGAATGCCATAGGGTGCGAAAGGCTTGAACCCACCACCATGCCGTGGAGCTCCGTCATAAAAGCATGGAAATGACTCGAGACTGCACGTACCTAGGCAAGGGGAAGCGGATTGGAACTATGCCATATTGCAGCTCCGAATCGCTATGTAGATAGATCGATCGAAAGAGGGGTAGATCGATAGATACACAGATCGATGGGTAGCTATTATACCGTTAGATAGACAGACAGACACACAGACAGACAGTCAGTCAGACAGACAGACAGACAGGTAGACAGATAGAAGTATGCATGTATATATATATATACACATACATACAGGCTGTGACAGAGAAGGAAAGAAAGGTATCAAGACAACCCGATAGACAGATAGAGCTCGGGAGACCAGGCTAGCCACGACAGCCATCACATCAAGAGCAACGTACAAGAGTCCCATATCCAACAAACACCAAAACACCTTTGGGACAGCTTCCGCTTAGAAACTCGGAGCAGGCATTTGTGCCAGGTGAAGGAATGCCCAAGGCTACAGACAGAGTCGCCCAGCTCTGGCCCTCTGCCTAGGACGTTGATGAAGTGCCGTGAGGAGGCGGCAGCAGCCATCGGCTGTGGTGTGGACACCTTGGACCCTTGGTGCATGAACTGTTCTTGTGTCAAGCTGGTGCTGGTAATGCAGAGAAATTGCCCTGGTTGGCAGAGAGCATCGGGTCAATTTGCCCTGCGCAACACACAGCACAGAGCAATGCAGAGCAACAGGCTTGCTGTTGCATTCTTCTGTCGCCTGGGTCAAGATATGAAGGTGTTTCCGCTGTTTGAGGGGAGGCATTCGGAGCGTGGCGGCCTCAAAATGGGGGGGACTGGGTTCGGGCTTTAGATGCAGAGATTCTGGGAGAAGGAGGGAGAAAGAGGGCAGCGAGGGAGAGCAGCTTACGGGGCAAGCAGCTACCATTTTTTTCGTTTCTGTTTTATTTCTCACCCCCACACAAAATCGAGAGACTGGATTTCGGGCACCTGCATTCCCCCTTAGCGAGCAAGAGAGACAGAGAGAGCATGGGTTCCATAGGAGCAGTCAGGGGAACACGGGGGCGCTCCGACCTTCGAATCGCGGACCGTGGGGGGGCTGGCCCACGGGCCAGGGTTTCGACTCCCAACCCCAAGCAAGCAAGCAAGAGGCGTGGCGCTTCTGCACAGGGGGCGGGGAGCTTGGATCCCCAACCCCCAACGCCTTGCAAGCAAGCAGCAAGCAAGAGAGACAGAGAGAGAGTTTCGCTTCTTTCCATATGTTCTCTAGTCTTTTCATTCACATACAAAAAATCAGAAAAGTATCTGAAAAATACCCGACACCTGAACAGCCTTTCACACCCCCGAAAGCCCCATAAACATATGGGGGGCCAATAGGCCGGGGGGTCTGACACGCCCCCTATGCCCTGGGGAAGAAGAAGAGTTTCGCAAGAGAGAGAAACTTCAGACTTTGTGAGGGTGGCAAAGAGTTAGCGAGGCCCATTCAGCACCTTTGACAGTTGGCGTCGTGAGAGAAAGATCCTGAGCCTTCGATTGAGGAGAACCGAAGTGAGAGGGGGAGCTGGCCCATCTTTGGATCTTTGGGTGCAAGGGCAGGAGCGTAGATTTATTACTATCATTGCCAGTATCATTTTCATTATTACTACTGGTATAATTGTGTGAATGCTGCTGAATGCATTGTTACTGCGGCTCTGAGCCTTTTGAATGTACTACGTTACACCGGCATTTGCTTCCCCACTCAGGAACTCAGCATGGGCATGAGCGCCGACTACGAAAACGCCATTCTGGAGGGCAGCGACCCATCTTGCTTAGGTTTACGGCATGACATGGTTGAAGTCATCCACGAGGGCCGCATTGTTAGGCGTCCAATGAAAACAGGGCAGGGGTTGCCGTTAGAGATTTTTGGGAATGGGGAGCTGCTTTACCCCTTCCGCCCGAGTGCTTGGTATTACATCCGTGCCCCAGTGTAAGCGTGACTAATAGATTGGGTGCTCAACATCCATATAGATTTACCTCGGTGGTATCACAAGGCTCAGGAGCAAAAGTAATTACCGGTCGGTGCCCAAAGCTCATGCGCTCAGAAAAGCCGGCGAAGCTTGACTAGAGCCAGGAAAGCTGAAGCTCCAAAGCCCAGGCACCTCCGTGCGCGTGGGTTCGTCAATCTTCGGAGCACGCCAGTATCCTCCCAAGTGAGCCGAGGGCCTGTGCGGTGGTACACATTCGCAAGAGCTTCCTGTGCAGAAATGCAGCTCGGATGTCATTCCGGCCACTGGCGCACACCGTGTACACCGCAATGTTTCACGAAAAATCTTGGCAGCCCACTATGTCGTCGGAACTCAAGCACGCCGACTGCAAGTCCAGTTTGGTGTGCATGGAGAAAGGCTACCGCCTCAGCTTCATCCACCGTTTTCCTGCCGAATTTTCTGCTGTAGATGGCCCCGAAGATGGCAATGCATAGCTGATCTGGGAAACTTCGGAACTCGGAGTCCAGCTTTCTTCAGTGAAGTGTTTAGGGCTAGAGCTGCCTGCCGCGCTGATGCACGGCGCTGTACAACTCGACATGCACTGGGTGGAAAAGAAGCCCGAGAGTGCACTCAGTAAGGTCTTGAGAAGCCGTAGACTTTGGCACGGCTTACCTGGTGCTTTAGCGCTCACAGTAGTCGTGCTGGTGTAAGTTTGTGTGCACGCAACTGGTTGGGACCCATGACGCTGAGTCAAGGCGCCTATCTGTATGCCTACAAGTCACGGTCTAGTGGCCCCGAATATCCCAAGAGTCATGTGCCGTTGCTCCATGGTAATTAAAGCAAGTGATCTCGAGTGACCTCGAGTGGATACCCAGCAACAAAACCTTGCAGACACCCTACTCTGGAAGCTTCCCGCGTCCCGACTGGGAGGTTGCAGAGCCAGGAAGCTTCCATTTCTTTCCCGAAAGCTCTTAACGTAGGTGGTGTGTGGTTGAGAGGTGAAACAGACAGGGGTTGTCGATGTGTTGTGCCGACTCTCAACATCAAGGGACGACGTCCTACAAATTAACAGACTTTGCCGTGGCCGCTTGTCAACGTCTATAAATGTCATTGCAATCGGCCGAGATGAGGAGACGGAACACGGACCTAGGAGAACCTTGACTCTGTGGGGAACATCACAGAGCACCTTGTGCCTGTTCAGGGTGTGTGGAGGTTGGGGCTTGTCGTTGTGGGAATGATGGCTGGCGCGCCGTGAGCGGAATTGACGGGAGCCAGCACCTACGCCGTGTTCGAGTCTTGACGGAGTCAGCTCGAAGGGTGCTAACAGCTAGCAGTTCTCACGACCGGGTGTTTCAAGAACTCTTGGCGGTAGCTCTATGCAAGTACCCCGAAGAGATATCGACCCTAACCCTAAACCCTAAGCCCTAAGCCCCACATCCTACACCCTACATCCCAAGCTCTACATCCTACACAAACAGGAAAACAATCCCTGGGACGCGATGACTTCAGAACCATGGCCACACCACGGCACCATGTCATGCCCCTACTCCCGCAGCTTGGCCCAATAGTCTCAAGGCCATGGCTCGATCCATGGCCAGTGAGACGCATTTCAGTGATGACCATGCTGCTGATGGCTCCGGGATGCCCAGCAGGAGACTTTTCCCGGGGCTAGCGGCTGGGCCTCGACTTCACATGTCTTCACTGATCACCAGTCTAGGCTTCAAGGGCCAGAAATTGAAAGGCAGCGTGTTGAAAGCCTACACACAATACTTGGAGCTTGAGCCGTGGTTAGCATCTTGCACTAACCTCAGCACTGTTGGAGGGTTTCTCTGCTATGGGTTGACAGCGACTCGCGTGTGAGAGAGGAACTATTGTGTAGGGCAGTGTAGGGCTTGCTTTTGCCACCACGTTTGACAGGAGTTGCACCGATGTGCCCTGCCTAGTGGTCTTCTTGGGCTATGTGGCCTGCATGGTGGGAATTAGCATCTATGCCTTCCAGACCGGACAACCGCAGAAGCTGACTCATGGCTTTGATTACAAGGGTCAGCTATGTGGAGTGGACAAGGCCGTGGAGGATAAGCCCATGCTCTTCTGGTGCCCCAAAGGTAACAAGACCCTGCATGGCCACCCAGCAGATTTGGATATCAAACATCCGGTTTGCATGGCCGAATGCCCGAGCCAAGAGCTCTTGTCTGTTCATTGCTTCGACAACCCGAAAGCACATGTGAAAGATCTTGGCGGATCATTCCCGGATGAGCAGATCACCATCCAAACGAGGACAGTGAGAAAGCACACATACCCGTCACAGGCCTTTGCCGGCATGTTCTGCGTGCCACGCTTTCACGAGAAGCAGGGGCACATCCTCGGGGACGAGCCCCTGGTACAGGAGCTCGGTTCTTGTATGTCAGGTGGAATCCGTCGAGCCAAGATCAGACCCGCTTAGACAGGCCTCTCATCTCTCATGTGTTTCTTAACAGCTCAGAGCATCTCAGTTTAAGCTCTGGGCCGCTAGGAGCTTCTCGATAGCCATGGACCCATCGGAAACGGTTACTTCCGCACGGCCGCGGCTTTGGGGAGCTTGCGTCGCTCCTGGCAGTCGGTGGTGATTGCGGTGCTACTTTCCGTAGTCTTCAGCTACACATACCTCTTCGCACTCAGGCCCGGCATGGGACCAAAAAGTAAGGGGGGTCGATGCTTGGTTCCAATTGAACCGGAGGTGTGCGCCCTATGGGACCAGCATAGCTAGCATTGTGATTGTGATGGTCGCGAGTCTCACCCTCGGCATCTATTTCGTGCTCGCCAGCAAGCTATCTGGGAGCTGGCTTACACATTACCAGAACACCAACAGCCTTTACAAGATTTTTGACACGGAGTACGCCCAGTGGGTCTCCTGGGTGCTCCGAAAGCAATCAGGAAATTTCCGATAAGACATACACCGCGTCGTGTGTAGGCTGTCAGTGCTTCAGAAGGCTTTCGGATCGCCAAGTCTGGCATTTTACACTGCCTTCTGCAGTGAATTCCGAGGTGCTAGGAATGCTTCTCCTGTTCGCCTTCGGCTTCATGGCTTGTGGCCTCGCGGCAATCCGCCAGAGCATCAAACAGGCGACAGGCTGTGTGCGGGTTGCTGCGGAGTGCGTCTTCAGCATGCCAACGATGATGCTGACGCCTTGCTTCGAGGCCACCACCGCGGTTCAAGATTTCATTGTACCGAGAGCTTGTGTTAGGAACAATGGTAGCCCCCATCCCATGCCCCAAGCGTCGCATCGTCCAGAGCTCCGAAGCACCACATCCATCTCCACGCAAGGCAACCTTTCGGAGCTGTCAAGCATGGTGGCAACACTGCAACCCTAAACCCAAGAAGCTGAAGCCCCAAGCCTATGTACTCCTCAAAACCTCGCACAGAACGGAGGCAAAATTGCACTTGACCTCGTCCCTAGCCGCCTTTGCCCTTCGAGGCAATCTTCAAGCTCGTCCTGTGGTTTGCCCTCCTCAGCAGCCTAATGTGGCTCTTGGCCACGGCAGAGGTGGTGCCGACCTCTCTTGACGAGGTCCCTCCCAATTTGCTTAAGGGCTCGTAGGACGACGACGACGACGACTACTACTACTACTACTAGTACTACTACAACTACTACTACAACAACTACTACTACTACTATTACTACTACTACTACTACTACTACTACCACTACTACTACTACTACTACTACTACTACTGCTACTACTACTACTACCTCTACCTCTACCTCTACCTCTACCTCTACTTCTACCTCTGCCTCTGCCTCTGCCTCTGCCTCTGCCTCTACCTCTACCTCTACCTCTACGTACTACTAGTACTACTGCCAGTACTACTACCAGTACTACTACTACTACTACTACTACTACTACTACGACCACCACTACCGCCACCGCGACTACCACTAGCTACCACTTCCGCTCCTTCTACCTACAACCTACTGTCTACAAACTACTGTTTAGCTGCCGGCCACCGACTACTGACTACAAACTCTTGACTACTCACTATTTTTACTAATTACTACTTGCACGTACTCGGTACCTACTACGACTGCTACTTATTCTTCGGCCACCTTAGAAACAGCTTCCACTTCGTGTGCTGCGCTGCCTTCCTCCTTATGTGAAAACTGCAATGTTCCTTTCAGTTCGCTCCGATGTCGCTCAAGCAGAAGTCGCTCTCGGACAGCTGCCTGTGCGGGCAAGCCACTTGCGTGCATGCAGCTTCGGGGAGCCTTGAGGCCGTAGGTTTAACTTTCCGACTCATTCACTGCATGGACCTTCTCCAGTGATTCCGCATCTATGTTGAAACTTCCTTTTTGGTGCAGTGTGTCGCTTTACTTTTTGACTTAATTAATCATACTTCATTTTCCACATTGGGCATTGTGAACCACTCTGCCAGCCCCTCTTCGCGGTCCACACTGCCCAGCATAACTTGGTTCTAACTGGGTTCGGCGTTTACCTCCCGCAGCACTACGCGAGTTTGGCTTCCAGGAGCTCCACATTCCTTCACATCCGCGCATGAGTACCTTCTTTCCCGTCTTGCCACACTTAAATAACTGAAATACTCGTGTGTCTGTGAGAGCATTCCGGCCCCCTTGGTAGGCCCATGTAGGTCCAGAAACAAGCTGTGAAGCAGCCCTTTGCGATTACCTGTCAGGCAAACATCTCCATCAGGCCAGTAGCAATGATGGCATAGAGGGACATTAGTGACATTAGCGGTCAGACTTATACCATCGTTAACACAGTGCTGGTAGGAGTTACAACCCTCGGAGATCAAGAGTGACCCATTGGCTGATCAAACTCGAAACTCTGTGCAATACCGACCTGAGGCCTGTCGAGCCTCCTGCACCCTGGCAGCTTGTCGAGGCGTCTGATGGGGCGTAGGGACCAGGACTGTGAAACAGCAAGCCTGTAGAGTGTAGTGGTGGGACCGGTGGTTGAAAGAGTCTCGGCTTCAAGGGAAACTTATGGGGATTTGTGGAGTTGGGCTCAAGTATTGGGATTGGAGTCGGAGGCTGGGATCGATGTGCCCCCCCCCCCCTCTTCTTGCTGATAGTCTGACCCAGTGCACGTGTGTTCTGGATCATGAATGCGTCCTTGTATGCCATGCTGCGCTCAAGACGTACCTCCGCATTGCGTCTTCGGCCTGTACAAGTGTATGTATGCATGCATGCATGTAAATATCTTTATACACATACACATGTATACATCTAGATTGTATTACATTATATATGTATTTACGTGCACGTATTCGTATACATGCATGCATGCATGCATACACACACGCACGTACGTACGTACGT